GGGGGTGCTTAACTTTTTTCCAGGTGTATATAAACACATTTTGAAGAATAATACAAAAATAGCAAGTAGAATCCCCTTCCAACATGACCTAAACTTTTTGTTTTAAACATTAAATATTATTATATTTGATTTTCTGATGTTTAAAAAGTTTTTCATAATTGTGATAATGAAATTTTGTGACCCAAGACTTAACAACAACAAAAAATTAATTAATAGATATGACCTCTGTACTATCCTGACCATTCACCACGATGATCAACCAAGTATGATGCAAAAGTAATAAAATGATCAATTTCTACCAAAAAAAAAGAAGCAAACACACACCAAGTTCTACATGACTATAATTTTTTTTTTTTAAAACATATTGTTAAAACAATTACACCAAAATATGTTCATGTAGAAATTTTATTTCATCTAATTTACTAACCTGCAAAATGCCTGGTTTTTCTGGCTATTTCCTCTGGTAATAACATAAACAAAGTCATTCGTAAGCACGAATGGGACTCTTTCTCTTCGAATTCCAAATTTTTCTTTGAAATTTCCCAGAATATGTCCAAAATCTATATGAAACAACTGAAAACAAACAAACAATAAAACCAATTGAAAGTGCTAAAAACAAAGCAGGTAAAAGATAAAAATTATGATGACAGAAAATATAAAAAATAAGTTAGAAAATTAAAATTGCTTATTCTAGCTTGCAACTCATAACATGAAACTATATATATATATATATTTTACTTTTATACATTGATCAAACAATCATATCCCTCCAGAAGGTGTTGAATACTAAAACACAATTAATACACTGCCACCAAGTCAACCTTCATTAAAATCTAATTTATTAATGTAGAATACAGTAGTCCCTCTTAGATACGACTGACCTATCTGCCATGATAAAAAAATCATACCTGACAGGAAGTTGTTATTCAAAAGATCAATAACCAGATAATGAACGACCGAGTTCTAGCTGTGCCAGTCACTATTGCCAAGGCTTGAGCCTAATGGTTTATATACTATATAGGTAATCAGATGATGTAGCAAACTGGTATAATAATAATAATACTTATGATGGATAATAGTTCAAAAAAGATAACTTAAAAGTGTTTTGTTTGCATTTTATGTAAAATAACTTATCTTGGATCAACCGTCCAAAAACAGGAATGTTCATAGCTCTCATGTCACAAAATTAACCAAACATTAGGTTATTAAGTTCTTGATTTAAGGTTTTACGCACTTTGATAACTTTCATGCTTGAATTAGAACTGCTTTCCTACAACTCCATAATTTTAACTTTATTGCCAACAGTTGTTTGAACATGCATTCTGCCAACCTGCATTTCAGCAGCAATATTAATACATTTGGCATCCTTTTCATTCTTTTTGATGACTTCAACCCTTTTTGGAGAGTGAGGTGTTTACATTTTCACTTTTCTTGATGCTTTCTGAGACAGAACCAATCTTTGTACAAAAATACGATTTATTCTTCAATATGTGTGCATATTTATACAGAAAGCTGCAGATTAACTATTCAATGGGAGAATTACTTACCAATATCATGCATCATCTGACTCAAGAAAACATGCATTCTGACTGCTGATTGGCTGGTGAGGATTTTCCCAGCTTGCACCATGGTCTCAATTTCATGGCCAAAACACTCACATGTCAACTGTTGTAAATCAAGCACTAATTGCTGTTGAAATTATCAATTTTTTCGGACTACATTGAATAATCAAGGTTAGAGATATTCATAATTTGAAGAATATTACATAAAATATGAAAATTTCCCAGCCTTCATATTCTTTTTCATTGTGTGATGTGGCATCTAATCACTCACGCATTGCAAACATGAACAAACTACAGTTGAATTATCACCAATTCAGATTATAGTACATACATGGACATGTAAAATCAAATAAATGAACACATAACACACACAAGATGTTTATATGTTTTTATTGAAATGAAGAAAAGTTGCTATAGAAAGATCATTACCCGACCTCCTGCCCTAAAAATCATGGTTGTATGGTGCATATGTCAGGAAGTTGTTCATGGAAGGTCAGGTCAATGTAAAATCATTCTGTGCACAGAAAAAAAGTTGTATCTATAAGGAAATTGTTATTAGAAGATGTTGTATCCACCAGGGTCTACTGTATTAAGGAATTTTTCTTATTTTGTTGTGGATTGATAGAATAAGAGAGTCCACTAAAATATTCAGATAAACATTCTTATAATGCAGAGACTTCAAGATTATTAAAAATAAATTTCTCCTACTTTGGGTTTGAAGACACCTTTGCTTTTGGTGAGACTACTATCAAAAACATTTTGTTTAATATAGAATATCTCATTACTAAATATTTCCTAACCAAAAATTTAATACCTGTCCATTTGTTTTCACCATGATGTTGTCACTGTGTCTGTCTGCTATTCCAAGAACATAAGTTGCCACACAGTAACCAGCACAAGAAAGGGTAAATTCTTCCACTGCTTTATTAAGACTATAAGACAAGTAAAGTTTTAGGTCAAATTAAATAATGAAATATTCATAAAAGAAATGGTTCTTTCTATGTATTAACAATTGAAAAATGAAAATAATAAAAGCCATTAGTGTCTATTTAGAAAAATCAGTTTAATCGAAACATAAATGTTTTACCTTTGAATATAATACTTTATGAAGAATTTGAAATTTAAATGGTAATGTTCACCAGTTCAGTTGCATAGGGGAAATGTCCAAACTTTATGCTCAAGCATACAAAACATCCAATGTCAAGACAAAAAAAATTTTTTTTTGCCTTTTTATTAGTGGTTTAAATGCAAAGAAATGCTCATGACCTCTTCATGATCTATCATTATTAGAAAATTAACCCACCGAACTAGATTGAAGAAACAAATATATCAGTAAAACTGGATATTAACTCTTGACTTGTCAATCAAGAATCAGATGGTCAAGGATGATGAGTTTAAACAATTCAACCATTTTGTTGGTGTGAACATGCTTTATAGTCATTATGAGAAAAACATATACACTGGATAGGTGAAGTGAAGAAAATGGTTGATACTTTTCACCATAATACAGGTTCAGCTTATCTCTCTTTGGTTAACTTGTGTTCAGGGTTACTGAGGAGAGGAATTCTCTGAAACTAGTATAACCCAATAACACACGTTGATCAAAGTGTAGATTGAACTGGACCTCCCTTAAACTTAAACTTCAAAATT